GTTAATGACAACAGCACGCTGAAGGCTTTCGAGACCGACAAAGTTGTTTTGGGGATAGGCCTGCCTGGTTATTGCCTTGGGGACAGGCCTGAAAGTCACCTTGAGTTCCCAATTGGAAATCGCTTTGAAAGTTGGATTGGAACTCGCCTTGGGTTCCGGTTTGAGAGCCGCCTTGAGGACCGGCATGGAAGCGGAAGCCGTCTTGAGGATTCAAAGGGCCCTCCTCCGTGGGCTCTATGATAAAGGTCTGAAAATCTGCTACCTTTAGGTTGACCTTGACAGTCCTTTTCTGTAGGATGGCACTGACGTCCAGTCCTGTCTTGTCAGAAACGAGTTGAATCAACTCCCGAGTAGTGATACGAGGTGGTAGTGGAAATGCCTCCTCGTCTTGAGGCTGACAAGATGAGAAGACGAGGTCTTCTCCGGCGTCATCTTTTATAGTGAGGGTGATCCACATGATGGGATCCTGTCGGCTGCGCCAAAATGTAACGTTCTACAAATACAATTCGAGATAGCTTACGAAATAGTGCTTTACTCGATCCGCCACTTCTATGATTCTCCCTTTTCTTCTTCTTCTATCCCTGCTCTGCCTGGTTTCTTCTTCTATGTCCATCATCTAGCTGTCACAATCGACACGACGATTACTCGTGAATACTTTGAGTTACTATTGACACAATAAACTTTAATTCGGCAGGATTGACATTTTGGTGACTATTTTGATTAGAGGTATTCCACCAATTATTCGATTATGAGTGGAATTCGCAGTAATATTCTTCCTTCGATTCGAAACGAGCAGTAATCGAAACGGGTAGGGGTGGGGATTGAACCCAGGGATCCTGGGTTCAATTCCCACCCCTGGATGAGCATCGCATTATTTAATCGTACTAGAAACCGATGATCAAGACTTTACAACCATGGTTGCCGAAGTTCTAGACAGCTTTAAAGGCTGCATGAACCCTTTAAACATCACGCACGAACTTCCAGTTGACCACTCGTTAAGATTCCTGGATCTGCGACTTTTTATTTTACCTTATCATGTATGCTGGACCTATGAGCCCAGGGGGGAAAAGCCGCTTCTACCGTTCAACTCGGCGCACTCGAAACTTGTTAAGCGGAGCATTGTGCGGTTAAGTCTCAACAACGCACTTACAAAATCATGCTGCCATTCCGTGCAAACAAGCTTCAACGGGCAAGTCTCTCGATTAAAATGCGCAGGGTATCCAACCTCCTTACTAACATCAGTGGCCGAAAGACTCATCAAAGACATCAAGCAAGGGGACCACATTAAACAAAAAGAAAAAGACAGGGCCAAAAAACCGATCATTGTGCCATATATTCACAACTTTTCCTACGCTCTAAAGAAAATAGCTAATAGAGTTAACCTGGACATCGTCTTCTCAGCCCCTAACAAACTTCATAGCCTGTGCAAGCGAGTAAACACACCCACAAGAACCACAGTCAAGTGCACGAAGAAACATAAAAACAACTTCGTACAGTGTACCGAAAAGGCGGTCTACTCCTTCCCTCTAACCTGTGGACGACAGTACATAGGACAGACCGGACGGTGCGTCAACGATCGCCTTCGTGAGCACAACTGCACTATCACCAACAAAAACTCCGGACACCTGGGAATTCACTGCCGAGACTGTGGCTGCACAGCGCAGCTGGAGAAATGCACAGTGTTAGGCAGGAACTACGACAAGCTGACAAGAGAAATCATGGAAGCAGAGAACATTGCCAGGAAAAAGGAGAGATGCGTCAGCACTCCTTCCATGATGTTGTCCAACAAAGAACTTGAGTACTTAGCCATACAATAATTTTATGGTTTAGCTTCCTATTACAAAAGCACAGAAAAAAAGGAAGAAGAAAAGGGCAATCTTTTGCCATAGAAACCCTAGTCCCAAAGAAAGACGACAACGAAAATTGTAAATATAATATAACATAGAGTTGTCAGTCAGCGCAGTGTAAGTGGTTCTTTCTTTTGTATGCATGAAAGCTTAGAGTGCTTGTTTTGAGGGTGCGCTGTTTCCATGTCAGCCCCAAACTAGCGGTTGTACCGCACTGGCTAAATTGCTCACTTTCAGCTGAGACACCAAGCGGCCACTAAGGCAGACTAACTTCCGGCTATAAAAACGTACGCCTACAATTTTTTTTTTCACTTTCACTATTGTTTTACTTGTGCATAAAAGCACGCGAAATCGCAAGTCTTTTAAAGATATCTTCAGGCACTCGTATCCAGCAGTTGCTTGCACGCATGCGGACGCCAGCTGCACGCATGCGGATGCAAGCTTGCAAGCCAGGGCGCCATGGTTGCAATTGTCTATTATTAGCGTCACTATTACCATACCTGCGACGTCACCATTAGGACGAGTCTCAATTGTCGTAATCCCGCGCTGACCTATTCTGAGCTGAAAGTGACGTATGAGATTGCGCGTGAGAACAGTGCAGTAGAAATTTAACGCTATTGCACGCTTGACATCAACACCTTTTAAACTGATTTTGATTTCCGTCGATGGAAGCATACAGAATGCCACTGTAGATGTCGTTGTCAGCTCTGGGTGGCCATTTGTAAGAGAACAACAAAAGCGAAACTGTTGATGGCACACGTTGTCAGTAGACCATTACGCCGCTCGAAAAATGTAAAGCAGCCAAACTCGCAATGCAAACGAGCAAGAGGAGCGAGCTTGTCCCCTCAACAAGCCCTAAAAAGCGCCATTATACGAGTCACAAATGAGCGGCTAGGCACCTTTTCAGGGGTAGTCTACCATGGCCAAGGCTGCCAATCAAGCGTACAGCGCCATTAAAATAAAAAGAAAGAAAGTAGACACGCATTTTTAAATTATGATCATGCAATTGCGCTACGCTGCTCCGCGCATCTGTAAGATTGAACGCATATAGACCCCCTACAGACTGATTAAACTGAACAGAGCTGTCGCTATTGTAGGCGTTTTACAATATTTTTTCTTAAACTAAAATGGTTTAGTCTGTTCGATATGAACCAGCATAACTGGATCTATTTGATGCTTTAAACACTATTAGCCCCTTCCAACAGTGAAGAATTAAAGCACACAAAAAACATTGTAACTACTACAGTTTGTTGGAGGTTACGAGTAGCAGGACAAGCTCATTTCGCAAAACCCTCTACTTTTTCCATTTCAGCAGAGCGAACGCTGGAGAGGAGGCGGGTGGAGAGGAGGAAACCAGCAATCATGGCGATTAGAGAGTTTTGTCGGATGGGCTTGTACTGATACGATCTTAAGCGGCAAGATATTTTAAGAGAATACTGTAGGGTGTCCCAAACTAACTTTCCGCTGTTAAACGAGCCGGAAAAATGGGCCCCTGCACAAAGGAACCTCAAACTTCCATCGAATGTGCACTGAGCAGGTCAGTTTTACCGTGGGAAAATTATATTTCTGTAAACAAGTTAGAGCAAAAAACTCGTCAAAGTTAAGGCCTGGATGGGTTCGCAAACAACCCAATCACTCAGGGACGCCATTCACTCTTGGCGCCATCTCCCGATAGGCGCAGCGAGCAGACGACGCACCCTGTTTTCTGCTCGCTGCGCCTATAGGGAGATGGCGCCACACGTAAACAGCGTTGATAACTCGGTCATCTGCAAACGCGCCCGACCTTGAATATGGCAAGTTTTTTTTTTTGTTTTTTTTTTGTTTGTCTTTTTGTTCTCATTATTTACAGGAAGAGAACTACTCGCCTTAAAATTTCACGCGGCAAAACTGACCCGCTCAGCGCACATTCAATGAACGTTTAAAACTTACTTTGTGCGGATGCCGATTTTGCCGACTCATTTTAGAACGGAAACGATTCGCGTGGGATACCCTATATATAACCCACCCTGGCTCCGGTCCAGATAAGGTAGTTCTTACAAGCATCTCTTTATCCTTCACGATGGTTAAAACGACAAATTGACTGACCTCTGGCGTTTCGCTCGATATAAATGTGTATAGTGACCTGCATCTTATAAGAAACGTTGGGCGTGAAGTGTCACGGACATCTTATTATCGCTCCACAAACTAGTGAGATGGTGACAATCGCCGAGAAGAGCGCCCAAGAACCAATCAAAAATTAAGACATGCGAGCGGAATAAGCATAATTTAAGGTGTCGGTGACTATTCGGTGAGCCATTGTGTTCTAAAATGTGCCTTTGGCGCATCACAACGCAGAGCCATATAGCCTGCTCTCGACTCACAAAGCCAGGCAGTTCGACGACAAAGCCATAGATTGCCCGGTTGCAAATTTGGAGCACGATGATCTGGTAGCACAGAGCATCAAAGAGACTCTTCTCGGAGAACCTGGACGTCAGCGCACAGCTTTTGTAATGGCGGGGACCCGAAACGCACTTGTTCGATCGGGAGCAGTGTGTTTCGGCGTCTCGCCGTGGCGGGGCGCCAGTCACGTGGCTCTCCTCTCATCCGTTGTCTGCCGCTCCACCTTTTCAATTTCGGCGGCCACTTCCCGTGGCGATCTGCCAGGCTTCGCCAGTAGGGGGTATTCACTGGACACCATATTGGAAAGCGATGCTTAAAGCGCATGCTCAGAGCGAGCTCACATTGATAGGCGGCTAAGACCGGCAATCTTGATGATGCGGAATGCACGTTGCAAAAGAACTGCGGAAGCTCGCCGTCAGCACGCGCTCGACAGCTGCGCACACAGATATGGCCGCTGGTGAATACTCCCTATAGGAGGCTACGGCAGAACGCAAATCAAAGTTGAACACAGTTAACGTGCAGCTAACGCGCGATAACGAGGCATCCAAGCGCGCTGTCAATGGTTGGGGGAAAACAAAAGCACGTGGCCGCATTTGGTGGGTGAACTAACAAACGCACGAAGTGCACAAGAAAGAGCTCCTGGTCCGTGGCATTTTCGGCGTTCGTGCGCGCGGCACGTGATTTACTCGCTTCGCGAAGTGACGAACGTGCGTGTGCTGGGCTGTGGATTTGTGAACATTGGAAGAATGGTATGTAATGACGACGCGCTCTCACATGCGTATGATGAAGGGGTGCTGGACTTGAAGGAGAATGGCCTTCTCGTTCTTGACGTGCTCCACCTGCTTGAGTCGGATCACGTCCGAGATCTCGAGGATCTTCATGGCGTGGAAGGCGCCGCCCGGGTCCCGGCACAGGCACACACGGCCGAACGTTCCCGTGCCTGCAGAGATACGCGAGAAGGACCCAGTACTTCATTTAGATGGACACTTCATGTTTACTATGAGATCTATAGTAAAAGTATAGTATACTAAGTTTGCACTTTTTATGAAACACTTCGGAAAGTACTCTTAAAGAATATTCTATTATACTAATAGTATTCTAAGCATATACATTTAGTATGCGCACCTTTATAGCTGCCATACTGAATAAAAGTGCGGACAAAACCACTAATATGCAATGTACAGTCATAGTATGTTAATAAGAACGCCATTAACACGGACACCCCGTTATGTACATGACATTTTCGGGGACGAACTGCGTAAATACATGCATTTTATATCGTTATTATGGACAGCTCACATTACAGACCCTTCCTGGGGAGATTGGAGATGTCAACATTAACGAGACATCGCTGTGCTCTATAAGGATGTATACTTCACATATTGAAAGCATGTTCAAAACTTTTAAGTGTACAAAGATAGTATTTCTTAATTTAAATTTTTTTTTTTTTTTTTTGCCAAGGGTTGTTACCGACATCTTTCGTGTTTTGTTTTTATTTTGTTTAATCACTTTTACACAGGGCAACAAATCGACTTTTAAGAAACCATGTAGGCTACACTATTATCAATTGCCACGAACACTCACAACGAAATCCCCTTCAAATGGGCTTATAAAGTCTAAAAAGTATAATGCTTTTGCCTTTAATTCACTTCGTTTTCACCTTCCTCAGCAAAAATGTGAAACGTCCTCACTTAAAAAATTACATCTCAAATGACCTGGTCTGTTAGCGCACCGCATCTCAAAGCACGTTGAGAAAAAGCTCACGCTGCAGAACCTCCTGAGTTCGATCTCCACACCTGGCCGTTTTGATCTGCATTAGCATCATACCGCGGCGTGCGGTCATGTATCGTTACTGCGTTGTGCACGTTAAAGATCCCAGGCAAGCAGTGGTACTGCAATTTATAAATTTCTCATCTACAACCTAAACCCATGTTGCCGTACCTCAGAGTCAGTCCGACTACGATGTCTAAACGCGAACGTCAAATTTGGTTTCTGATTTCTCAATATTTAGAAAGCCGTTACGTCCATCTAAGGCTGCGTTTCAACAAAAGTAATAATAAAAGTTTGCGTTCTGAACAGCTTTTACGGTACAGTGAGAACTAAACTATTTCTAAGTAACAAGATTAATGAGGTGCAGAAGGACTGAGGGCGCCTTTTTCATCTTCTGTCATCTCAGGTGTTCGTAGTTCGTAGTTGAACTATATGACTGGCATTTTTTCTGGTGACTTTTAGTTTGACTAACGAGGGAGGGGGGTGTCTGTTTTTTTGTTGCAAATTAAAAGCCCATACACACGTTTGCGCTTCAATGCGTTTCAGTGCGGAACTGCGTCCTTGCGGTCGAGTGGTTGATTGCTGTACAATGCGCGTCGTCGCTTAGCGCGCGGTATAGCGCAACGCATGAAAGTAAAACCGTGCTCAACTACCCCCACGTGGCAGCCTTTACGGAGTGTAGCGGGAGACCAATCACACGCCGAGAAAAGAAAGGAAGGGTCACGTGCTTCTCCGTTCGGAAATGGGATCTTGCAATTTCATTTTGCGAAGCGGGGGGGATACGGGAGCAGCAGATTTTTCCGAGGCTGTCGTGGTTCAGGCTGGGCAGAAGCCGCGGAAGCGAGCGGGATCCCTTCAAGATCGGCCACCTCGATGCTGTCACCGCGCGTCGCCATGTTGCCGTAGAGCTCGGCTACCGTTTTTAGCCGCAAGCGACGATAGCGTGTTTATGTTGGCTCTTGAATGCGTTCTACTGGCGTTTGAACTCAGCCGTGTGCGCGAGCTTTGCGCAAACGCTCTGTTGCAAGAAAACTCATCGCGTTCAAACGCAAATGTGTGTATGGGTCTTCAAAGGAATTGTTTTGCGAGTGTGGAAAACTGGCCGTTGGGGTATCTTTCTGTTTACGAAGTGTAAAAATAAACAATCAGCTGTGAGTGAGCACTCGTGTATCGCACGTGTCTTTTTTTGTCCCCGCTTTTTTGTGCTCGGTCATAGCCTTTATTTTAAAATCCTGTCAATTCCCCAACGGTGCCATTGAGCGCGCGGCCGCCGGAAAAAGGCGAGGAGCAGCGCCGAACGGTTACCCATATGGTAGCGCAGAGCCACTTCTGGGTAGCCCTTCAGTCAGCGCTGAGAGTACGAGCGGCCACTCCGCGAAACAACAACAAACCACAACGGATAACAAAGAAAGAAGGCTACCGCCGCGTCGAGAAATGGGAGGGGGGGGGGGGGGGGGCGTTATAGAGGAGGGTTGACGCAAAATAATGTTTTTTCCTGAAAAAAAAAGAAGAAAGTAGCGAAACGAATCGGAGCGCGTTTGTGTTTCCGGATTTTACCGCTGGGGCATTTGTTTGGCGCTGCCAGAGAGAGCCCCTGCGTGCACCCTCTTCCTTGATCTCCTTTCCCCTCTACAGCGGCCACGTTCTTTGGCGATTTGACAGGCGTTCTAGAATAAACGAGGCTATGGCTCTGTCTTACAATGAGTAATGAGATTATTTATTTGGAATCGGCATTCTGAAGTAGTAAATCGCATCACAACAAGTATAACTTCTAAAGTAATTCCCTCCATTACTCGTTACTTTAAAAAAATTGCTCAATTAACGCTATTTCGTAAGAAAAGCATAATCACCGTCATGCTTGCCAACAGGTGGCGTAGTGAACTTTTAAATGAGTCAAAATCACCCTTATTTTCTTTTTTATACATGGAGTTGGGCATTATGAAAAGCCCGTAACATTTCCTGGGTTTTCAAAATCAACTTTTTGTCTTCCGTTCTGGTTCAGTTATAGAACGTAAAAACACGAGCTAAAGAACGCTCCCGTAGGATGAAACAGACAAGTGCTCCCACGAGTGACATTTAATGTATCGACTTTAAACCCACGTCTTATGAAAACACCACGGCTGCCACGTGCTTTCACGCTCGTTTCAAAGCGTGACGTCTTTGTTCCACCTCAAAATAGGCGCGCCACAGACGCAACAAGTTATCCGAAACCAACCGAGCTCCATTGACTCTTTACGTCACGTTGCAATCGCGGGCAAGGCAGCTCGCGGAGCCCCAGGAGCAAGTGGACGAATGAAAGCTCTTGACATCTTCGAAAACACCGTCGGAACATAATTGGATTTGTAGAAATAAATGAATTGCGCAAAGGACAGGGACAGAGGCAGAAATGAGTACGACACACGGAGCGCAGACTTCCAACTGTTTATTTTTCGCAGACACAGCAGTATATATAACAGCAGCAATCAGTTTGCTGCTGTTATATATACTGCTGTGTCTGCGCCAAATAAACAGTTGGAAGTCTGCGCTCCGTGTTTCGTACTCGTTTTTACCTCTGTCATCGTCCTTTGCGCAGTTCATTTATTTCTACAAATCATGAACCAACTAGCCCGCCAAAAGGCATAATTGGATGCAGGGACGACCCTGGCGGTTACCGGAACAAAACCGTGGGAACTTGAGCCTCTTTCCTTTCGGAATCTTTCACCTTTCAGAACATCAATACTTCAGCCATCTTGGTGGCTAAAAACGTTATGGCCCGTTACCTCAAAGCTTCACCTGTGCTGGGAGTAAAAGCAGAGCAGCTCGGAGCACAAAACCCAGGGATCCTGAGTTCAATCCCCCTTCATTTTTATTTGAATGAACACCGTATACCGTTGTGCGGTCGTGTAGCACTACGGCGTGGTGCATGTTAAAGACCTCAGGCTATGCAGAGCGCAAAAAACGCCGAGCTTTGATTTACTCTGATTGGAAGGACCGTGAGTAGAGCTCAAGGCAGCAAGCGTTGAGGTCTACCCACTATCGATACAATCAGAGCCAATCAGATTTCGGCGTTCTGACGTCACCGCAACACTTAATTGTGCAAGAAGCAGACGAACTTGCATTCGCATAGTCCCCAACAGATTGAGAAAAAATAGTGCGCGACGAGCGTCCAGAATCATAGCCTTCTCTATACTGACACAGCCTAACAGATCGCCACGAGAAGCGGCCGCAGATATGGAAAAGGTAGAGTGGCAGAGAACGGATGAGAGGAGCAGCCATGGTGACTTGCGCCCCGCTGCGGCGAGACGCCGAAACGCACTTCTCCCGAGCGAACAAGTGTGTTTCGGGTCTTCGCCGCTGCAAAAGCTGTGCGCTAATGTCCAGGTTCCCCGAGAAATGGCTTTTTGATGCTCTGTGGTACCAGATCCTCGCGTTCCCTATCTGCGACCGGGCAGTCTATGGCTCCGTCGTCGAACTGCCATGCTTTCTGAGCATAGAAGAGGCTACGCCAGAATCTAATTATCTCTCCTGAGCCGATGCGAATGCGGCATTAGCCGTTACAAGCCGCCGAAGAAGCTATCAGGAAGCCAGAAGAGTGAACATAGGAACCCATCATACAGAGGAGGCACCGGACGTCCACTGGGGCTGAATAACTCCCCGTTGTTAAAACAATCGTGCACAACAGAATGTTTAGGAAAGAATTAGGCAGGGACACTTAAGACTGCTTACGTGTGGGAATGCGGAAGCATGACGCACGCACTAGGCACAGCTTTAGTCAGCCGGAACCGTGGAGCCGCCGTGGCGTCAGAGGAGCGTGCTCCGTCTTGCACCCCGAAGGCCCGGGTTTGATTCCCACCCAGGCCGAATTCTACACAATTTCCTTTTCAAAGCCAGAAACCTCCCTGAGAAACTTTTCGCGGCAAAAGGGAATTTAGGTGCCGTTTCGCTGCTATTGACAACGCCCAGTCAATGGTAATTTATTTGCCGTTTTCGCCGGCTTCACCGGATATGCTCAATCAGACAGTTAATGCTTTCGCACTAAAATATCTTCTTATCTCCAAGATAATTAAAATAATCCGCGATTGAGCAAAACGATATCCACAGAGCTTTCTGTAACCGCATCTGAAGTTGGGAAAAGTCGCATTTTCGAACCGCGTAACTATCGCCCATTCCGCCAGCTCGGGTTCGACGGTG